AGGAGGTGAATGTGTTCACGCACAATATTAGATACTTAAACAGGCTAAGAACATGAGCTCCTGTATTTGTCTGAGTCTCTCCTATGTGTAGAACATGCAAAAGCTGCAAGGAATAACAACCTCCAAATGGTCTACGCAATTCAATTCTACATTTTTCATTGCTTCTGTATTCAGGTTAATTTAAACTGAAGAATGCTGTGTAAATAAGCAAACTGTTGTAAGAGACACTGCTTTTCTCTTCAACTATGAAAAACTGGTTTGACTTCCATTGGCATCTCCTGACTTTCTCATGTTAATCATCTGTGAAGTGCAAACACCAGGCGGAAAAAGGATCTGCATCTTTCAGCATCAGCTTTGAACTTTCTTTATTCAACAGGACAGCTAGAACTGTAATTAGGTACAGCTAGTCTTCATTATTTAGCTCATTTATTATTTATTTATGTCTTTTCCCACAGTGCCTTTGAATCTCACATCTTGTGCTGGCTGAGTGTTCTGTTTGCTTCCGCAAGATCCAGGTAACATAGCAGTCACTGTGGCATGACCCTTGATTCATAAACTGAGATTAGAGTGCTAAGCAAATGCAAGTGAAATGGCAGCCCATAGCATCCCAAGAAAAAATGAATTATGAATACACTCTCTCTGCCTTTTAGTCAAGCAGAAATGAGCCCCCACGTTCACAGTTACTACCTGAATGTATTGTAATTCTTGTCACTGCCTCACAGCAGTCTCTCCCTGCCTCATGCTCGACAATTTTTTTTTTTTGTCATTTTGTGGGTAGTTTTATAAGCAAGTTCTTCAGGTCTTCTAGGAAGCAAGGAAGGCAGCTATAATTTTCAGTGGAGATCGAAGCAGGAAAGACATGATGAGATAGAGTTTGGGGCTATTGTGTTGTTAGCTCCTGAGAGTCTGTGTACTTCAGGTTTGTGTTGGTTGTTTTTGTTTTTTTTTTTCACAAAAATCATGTATGACCAAAATGGGGACATCTTCAGTAACAGGGTGCTTTGCTTTGCCATACTCTGCAAGAAAGAAATCTATTCTGCAACATGCAACTTCCATCTTTCCTTTCAAGGAGGAGACGCTTTCCTCCTTGAATCCTTGTCTGTGAAGGACTAGCAGAAGGAAAGGCAAGAACTTGAAAACACCCTGGTGAGTTTTGAGAGGGTGAGGTTAAAGTGGAGTATAATATAATTGTTAACGTAGATTTTCAGTTTCAGCAGTGCTTTTTTTTATTTGTTTTATTCTAAAGAGACTAACTAAAGATTTAGACTACAAATTGACTTAGAATTAGGGCAGTGCAAAAAAAGGAAACCAGTGACCTACTTAAAAGAAATTAAAATGCATTAAACCTCTTGGGGTTGAGGTTACAAAAAAAAAAAAAACAAAAAAACAAAAAACCAGCCTCATAACAAAATAAACCCAACACAATAAATGTGTGCGTGGAAGGAGACAACATCTTCATTTCTTCCCTAGAGGCAGCAAAATTCTACCAGCAGAATCTGACTCCTAGTCAAATTATTATTATGCAGTTATTATTATGCACTTTGTACGGATATTTTTACTTTGCCCAGACTTTTAGGTCACTGACTTTCTAATGTGTTAGTATCTAGTCTAAAAACAGATGATTCTCACCCTGAAAAGTATCCTAGGGCACAAATAAGTTTCTGCCATCTTTGTTTATTATCCTGTTTATTCAAGCAGTTGCTTCAATAGCATTTGCTGTTTTTATCTTTTATCTTTTGTTTGGGTTTTTGGTTTTATAATTTGCTTTCGCATAGTCCTCAATCTGGAAGACCAGAATATCTTTTTCATTTCTCCTTTTGCCTTGGATGGTCCTTCCAGGGCTTAGTGCTTCTGTTAGCATGGCTCTTGCTATCACCATGTCGTATCAGTCTTTCATTGCATTCAAGTGCATCCCTAAGGAAGGAATCTATTTCATATAATGCAAATCAAAGCATGTACATCTTCCTAGAGCTACCTGCACAACTCTATGGATAATAACTACAAGCACAGGAATTACATTGGTCTTATATTCAAATCTTTGAAAGTAATTAAGTCTGCTGGGAACAGACAGGCTAATTTGACACCTCTGTGGATCACTAGATCCAGCTGTTCCACACGTCGATACCCATGCTGAAACTAATGGCTGCCCTGTTGGCAGCAGTGTCCTGGTGCACAGATTCTGCTTACTGCATGAGAGCCTCTCATGGCTGTGTCTCCTGCAAGCTCACACCTTTCCAAGATCCAGCACCAAACATGGGTGACAATAGTGTGACCATGCCAGAGCCTGTGCCATTCTTTCACCACAAAAAGTGTTGTGTGACTTAATATCACCACACTGGGACAGAAAAAAGAAACAATTCACCAAACTCAAAGTTCTTACTTGGCTGCAATACACTATTCCAGCTGTGATAGACACTTAATTTTCAAATTTAATGTTTGTTTTCTACTTTTAATCATGTCCCTAACGAGTTCATCTCATCTTCTCTTTCTTATGCCCCCTGTCTTTATTCATCTTCAGTCTCTTCCTTGCCCCCGCACTCTTCTTCGGTTTATCCTCTTTATAAACCCAAGCATAATTTAAACTCTTCCATCTTAATCAAAACAGCATCCTCAAACTTACCTACCTTTCCTATTTATTGCCTCATCATCCTTTCTTCACTCAGCTTACTTAACAAAAAACTTACAACTGCTATCTGAAGCTTCATCAAAAAAACACTTTTAGGCACCTTCTGATCTTGTGCTTCTCTGACATTTGGATTTATTATTTATCTCAGTAACTATCACATTCTTTGCTCTGTAAATCTTTCCCCATTCACAGCCATTGAGAGTATTGTAGCATAATGCTGTTTTTCCAAATGTGGGCATAAAATTCCTGCAACTATTTGCCTTTATATTTCACAGACTCAAAGATGGGCTGCCCAAGCCATGTGAAGAGTGACTGCTGGGCAAGAGAGGAGCCTGCTGGCAGTGGAAGAAGGCACAGAGAATGGCATTCCGGTGAGATCAGAGCAGGAGGATCTTTGTGCCCTCCTTACCTCATCCCTTAAAATGGTCATGCTGGCAGCAGCCATACTGATGCCACCTGATAGGCAGTCCCTTGGGCTTGTGCCAAGTCCCTTTGGGCTTGTGCAGCCCAAAGTTCACATGCAACTCTAACAGGGCATATGCAGGTGATGGGCTGGCACCCTAGTGCCAGACCCATGGCAAGCAGTGGGGACAGGAGCACAGTTATAATTTCATAAGTTGAGAGGTCATAGGTTGATGCTTCTGGAAAGATATTCGACTACTAGACCTTTTCCATTGTCATATCCTTTAATTAATTACTTTATTTATTTATTAAATAGTTCTGGAAATAAAATGTTTGAATAATGAACCTTGTCAGTTGTCACATCCTTTTAATCATTCATTCATTCAGATAGAATTTTGTCTCTCAAAATGATGTAGAAGCAATGGTTCTAACATCAATTTGATAATTTTATGTAAAAATCAAGATCTGGATTCTTAGCTCTAGAGGCAGACAAAGAAATAACAACAGTAAAATAGTAACTATTTCTTTCAAGAAATAGCTTCCCTTACGAAGCCTTACAAGTACTTCCTGATTCATAAAGCTATCAAGCATGAGTTGTACAACTTTTCAATATTTTATGAAGTCAGAAGGTCACATTAGAGATGCAATAAATTGCCAATGAGTGATATCTTGTCGACAGGAAATCAAAGTGTGATTCTCCTTGCAACACACAGGTGATATCAAGGAAAACAGCATTGAAATTAACAATATAGCCAGATAAATGAGTCAGAGCAATCTTGCTATACAAGAACACTTTTCTGCACATTAAGTAGAAGATGAACAGCTGTTTGGACTTGGAGATGATATAACCATATTGTGGGCCAGCTTCCACATATGGCCAAGGAGAGGAGATATGCTTCTTCTTGCTGGTTACATTTTCCAGGGTACTGGGTAAATCCTGATCCCAATGTCAGCCTCAACAACAAGAAGAAATTTCTAGCCCCTGAATCAAAATGTTAATTCCTGAGAGCTGAGGTGGAAAAGCTTTAAGCACTATTTGTGGCCAAAACCTCAGAAAACAACCCTTGTTATGAACAAAACATAAAGCAAAACACTGTCCATTCATGCATATTTGTATGTAGCTGACTTACCCATTTAAGTGACTTATCTTCATATTCAAGGCCTCTTTCCCTATATACAACTGCGTTAGTAACATTTAAATTTCTCCTATTCAATCTCCATAATGACTCAACTGCACAACAGCTATTTCTATGTCAGAAACTGAATGACAGTGGGAACTATGGGACCCACAAACACACTAGGTACCATATTATCGCATAGACCCTGCTCGATGAAATCCGTGGCCCAATCTGCACTGTGCTGTAGATACTCCCCTGTGGTAGGCAGGAACATACCTTGACACTACGCATCAGCAGAAATACTCATCTCCACTGCAGGCATAGAAGAATGCTCTCTTCATCCTGAATGTTGTCCTCATGTAGAGGACAACATTCTCAACAAGAGATTGCTTGGCTTTAAATTGCCATCTTGTATTTCCTACAAATTCAGCCATTTCAGCTGAAGGATGGTGAGATATGCAGCAAGGCCAAACAGATGGGAATCAATGGGTTAGCCTCGTGTAATTCTTGTGCAGACAGGGCTGTGGTTCTATGGAAAATCAGCTCGTCAGGTACTGCTGATCTGCCAGGATACTTTCAATCCCTTTGTGTGTATTTTAATTCTTTTGTTACACTAGGATACCAGTCTGCACTATGCACTCATTTCATTTTCAGATGAATACCTTCATGTTTCTTTGTTCTGAGCAGAAATTTCCTATATGTACGAATATCTAAAACAGCAACATTTCAATTGTTTGTTACGGTTCTTTGCACTGATCTAAAAAAAAAAAAAAAAAAAAAAAAAAGTGTAACAGTTAAGACTGCTGGAACAGATACCAGCCACGCTGATACGTACTGTTGTGTCACCTCCCTGTGCTACCCCATCTGTCCCATATGTACTTCTGTCCTCTCTTGTTTAATATTTAGATTTAAGCTCCTGAGAAAAAAGATAAGAGGTAAGAAGGGCTTTATTCAGAGAAACTACCCCAGAAACAAAAATAGTTCTAATTGTGTATTTCGGTCCTTGAAAAAAAAGGATTTTGGAAATTACTGTAAAGGCTTAAGTGGAAGAGTGGCATAAAGGGAAGGGGAGACAAATCCCAGTCCTATCATAGATTCATTCTTTTCTCACTCAGTTTTTCATCCGTTCGTGGTATGGATGATTCTAAGGTGCCAAATGTAATATTTATAATCTCAAAATCTGCTCAAATCACTAGCTGTTCAGCACTTTCAATGCTGTCTTTCCCATTTTGCATGATCTGTAATTGGTGTTAAGATATTCCTATTTATTCTGGAAATACAAAATGTGTTACTTTGCTCTTAATCTGCATAGACTGAAACCATCTGCTGTGGCTCACAGTTGAAGAACAGTAGATTACATATTCAGTCTAGTACCTACATCCAGCCCTCATTAAACAAATAATCATTACTGCTATCAAGTTGTAAGCTAGAGCAGTGTACAATTACAATCTTATATTTAAGCACATAAACCATTATTTTTAAAACAACAACAAACAAACAAACAAACAAAACCAGAAAAAGTAAACTCAGTGAAATACATATTTGTTTTTTTGCTGATGCTCCTGATGCTCAAAAGGCAGCTTTCAATAACTCAGGTAGAGGATCAGTGGAGGTTCCCCTCAGGTGTAGTAGTGGTTCTGACTGCCACACTGAGCAAAAGGTGATCTGACAAAAGAAAGTCAGTCTGTACCCACTAGCAGGATTAGCTACTTTGCCTCCACATGGGCAGGAAGCTGGAGTCACCAGGAATAGCTGTGCAGTAAGAAAACCAATTTGTAAAATAAATTTGTTTGCATTGCACCCAAGCAAAAAAAAAGTTATGCCCCAAGCTGGCTTGATTTAAAACATGAGGAATCCTGTTTGCCTTGTACTCAGACATAGCACCAGATAGTTTGCTCTAGGGTAGCAAGTGAAATATCGTGTAATATCTCTTTACTAGGTATAGTTAGACAAAAATAGTAGAGCTAAGATATCCGTTCCTGGCCTGCAAAAACTTGAAGGAATCAGATGGCCAGCACACAGTCTGCAACCACTGACATCCATCTGAAGTGCTGTAGTGGAACGGAGCTCAAAACAGTCTTAAGATCTGCCTGACAAGTTAGAACAGGTCAGAACAGAGAGGGAGCAAAGCTTTGGACCAGGCAGGTCTCAATCTATGGGAAAACTGAGTGTAACCACCAGTGATTCTGAGCAGGGCCTAGAGAAGGGAGAGCTCTCTGGTTCTGGCTTCTCTTTGTGGATAGCTTTCCAACTCATCTACCTCAGCCTTGGAATCTAAGAACTGACAGGTGATGCAGCTGTCAGAAACCATAGTGCAGCACCACAGTATAGTAAACCCAAGGCTTCACTAGTATGTTTAATTAATACTTGATTTTTAGTTGTTAACAAACAGATGAGGTGAATTTGGTCCTGTCAGACTGGTAAGCAGATTTTTTTTTACTGTCCACAACAAATGGACTAGAGGAATAAGTAGGAGCAGAAAGGCTAAATGTTTTAGAGCAGAATTTAATCCCCATTTAGTTTTTTCCCATGATGCAAGTATTTCTCCAGCTACCCTTATGTCTTCTAGAACATATTTTGGATGATGATGATGCATTCTTTCTGGAATTATTTCCTCATAATTCATTTGTCCTATTTGTCATATTTGTACAACTTTTTATAAACAAGATACGTCAAATTGTTCTCCTGTTGATGTAATTTAGCAGACTTCACTTAGTTTTAGCTAGAAGGAATTTGGTCCAGTCCATTTTGTTTACAGATTTATTCAAAATTAGGGAATATTTTTAAAACCAGATCTGTGCCTAGCTTCTGGCTGGCTGACCTTATGACTGGAAAATGCCAAGGCCTGTTTTTCACTTGTGAAATATGGCATTTATGCATAAATGTAGGAAACGTAGGAAACTTCCAGCTCCTTATCTTGAGGTTTTTGTTGTACGTTCTATATGAAATCTTTCAACCATCAATTTTTAGTATAAGATCTCCAAGGAAAAGGTTTTCCCATCCTTCTAATAATGCAGGTGTCCACATAGTAATATTGGTCTGACTTCCTGGGGAAGCAACACACAAGGATTTAATTGTTGAAAGGAGGAGCTACAAACCTTCTTAGTGGAATCAATTTACAGTCAGCATAAAGATGCCAAAACTTGTGCTGTCTCTACATGTAGTATTGTAACCCTTGGGATGTCCCAGGGTGATTTAAACAGTTTAAGCTATGGGCAGATCTCAGATTTAGATCCCTTAAAACTGCCTTAAAATCCAAAGGTACTGTAGGATCATTCTCACACAGCACAGCATCTCACCTCAGCACTTAAATCACTGCATTTCTCATGTGTCATTATGAATATAACGCCTTCTCCTCAGTCTGGAAAGTCCTGAGATATTGAGCTTTATCTTCACAGCATTTTAATGATTGAATTAACTTTATGCTAGTTGGGTTCTAAAGGTCTGAGTCTTTACAGCTGAGCCATACAGCTGCTGTCATTGTAGGAATGAGGTCACTTGACTTCAGAAAGTATACAAAAAATAATCTCAGCTCTTTTTATCTCATATGGTACAAGCAGCATGCTTGGTTAGGTAGCCTCACATCTGACTTACAAACACGTAACTGATACCATACTCAACAGGCAAAACTGTAAAGACTGAAATCAGTGAGGACATTTGTAAGATGCCCAGTTCACTTCAAAAGCCACAAGAGGGAAAGTTAAAAGGCTCGGGGTTACCTCCTCTTAAAGACTATCTGAGAGTTAAAGAAAGTGGTGGTTCAAAAGCTGGCATCTTTAAGACTGCACTATAACCTAGTAGCAGACGTCAACTCTTCCTAGAGGTGATGCACTTACCTTTCTTTGCTTCTTTACGGTGAATACTGCATTCAAAACATCTGGTAACCAGTTCGTGTATGGGGGAATGGCTCCTCAGCCTTGTTATCTAGTGCCACCCAGTGGTCATCTATGCCAATTGCTCGGGTGTGTGGTCTCCACAAGATGCCGAATTGGAACTCACCAGACAAGGCGATGCCTGTTTTCTAAACGTGAATCTCCCTTCCTGTAGGCGAGGAAAGAGAGAAAGAAACCGACCTATGTAGCTAAGTACAGAATCAAAGCATATTGGCATACTGGGCTGGTAGAGCTGACTTTGGTGGTTGTTGGAAAGTTGATTTTTTTTCAGTGATATTTAATGGGATGGCAGATATTACATTTTTAAAATTATTATTTATGTCTTACATTAAAAAAAAAAAAAAAAAAAAAAAACCATGCACAATTGCAGGAAATAAATGGTAGCATGAACTGCTATCCGAAGGGGTCTTGACATGGACTTGCAAAGAGCATTTTGCCGACAGTGGTTGCGTGAGTTATGCCCATTGCCCTAGTGAATGTCATGGAATATTTTGCAGTTTTCTGTTATGTATATACTAGATCATGCATCTGATAGAAGAAAATGCAACTTCCATAAATTTGTGAATGTCCCAGTTAAACAGCTCAGAACTCCTGATTTTAATCTGAAATATCCTGGATAGATTGGATGGCAGCAAAATGGTGTACTACACAAAAATTTTGTTGGCATTCCTTTCTTCACTGATGTCTAATTTGGGGTTCATTGTTGTGTTGGATATGCTCATTTTAAACTATTGGAAATGAACTAATTTAACCTTTGTAGCATGGTGTACTGATAGTCAGCTGAATATGAGCCAGCAGTGTGCCCAGGTGGCCAAGAATGCCAATGACATCCTGGCTTGTATCAGGAATAGCGTGGGGAACAGGACTAGGGAAGAAATCCTGCCCCTGTACTTGGTGAGGCTTCACCTCAAGTAGTGTGTTGTTTTTGTCACCACAGTACAGAAAGGACACTGAGGTGCTGAATCAAGTCCAAAGAAGGGCAACAAGGCTGGTGAAGGGCTTGGAGAATTGCCCTATGAGGAGAGATTGAAGGAACTGGGGATGTTCAGTCTGGGGAAATGGAGGCTGAGGGAAGACCTTATTGCTCTCTTCCAATATCTGAAAGGTGCTTACAGTGAGAGCGGGGTTGGTGTCTTCTCACTGGTGACAGGATGAGGGAAAACAGCCTCAAGTTGTGCCAGGGTAAGTTTAGGTTGGATATCAGGAAAAACTTCTTTATAGTAAGGGGTTGTTAAGCACTGGAATAGGCTCCCCAGGGAGGTGGTCGAGTCACCATCCCTGGATGTGTTTAAAAAGTATTTGGATGTGGTGCTCAGGGATGTGATTTAGCAGAGGGTTGTTAGTTCGGGAAGTATGGTTAGCTCATGGTTGGACTCACTAATCTTTAAGGTCTTCTCCAATATGAGCAATTCTATGATTCTATGAAGTGTCCAGATGTGTACAAGAGGAAACAAAGGGGCCTTGCTTCCATCTGCTTAGTAAACAAAATTTATGTGTGGGAGTAGATAATTCTGTTTATTATATGCATCTGCATTTTGTTATTTAGCTGCAAAGTCAAATACCAGGCAGGACCTAAGTCGAATATTAGGAAGAAATAACTGAAAGGCCTTTTTTCTCCCCTGCCCCATGTTTTAGATTGCAGTGCTTAAAAGCATCACACTTGAGTTATGGGCAGTAGCTATTTTCTATCTCGGGAACGTGTCACCGAAGCATGGTGCATCAAAACAGGAACTTAGGAACGCTACTGGGTGTTCTGAAGCATTCCCAAACTGCCAAAGCACTTTAAATGTCAGAAGAAGCGTTATGCAGCGACCCAGTCGATAGATGGCAGTGCTCTCTCCTGCTCTGAGAGACGAAGTCGGTCAATTCCACTGCATTCTGGAAAGTCAGCTGAAGGTGGGAACCGTCCCCGTTCAAAAATCCTCCTTTTTACATTTCTGATCATGTATTGAAATGCAAAACAGATGTCAACAGTAGACAGTGTGCAGACATTCCAAAGGGCAGAACACGTGACTAGAAGGAGGATGGAGATAATACCATGCTTTGCAAATCTGAAATACACCCTGAAAAATCTTTGTTTATAAAATCACTCTCTAATGACAGTGTGCAAGTTAGAATGGAGAAGGCACCAGGTGCTCCTCCTCATCCTGTGGCATCCTTCTTTGTCAGAAAGGTGTCAGCAGAAATCACTGCAAGAAAAAAGGTCTGTTTGCACAGCTTGAATTTCACCAGGAAAGTGGACAGCTTTTTGCTTATTCTTTAGCCAGAAAGCTGAGGTAACTTTTGCCACAATCCATATCAGCTGACATATTATATAGAGGAACCTGTCTGCCCTGACAGGCAAGAAGAGCAGCTCTGGGAAGCTAGTGCCCTAACTACAGGTGTCCTGCTGCTGGGCAGTTGGACTAGATGGCCTTTGAGGGCCCCTTCCAATCCAAATGATTCTGTGATTCTTTGGAAGAGCTGGGAGTACCACCAACTGTTGTGAACGAACTCCATAACTTTAAAGAGAATGTGTCCACATTCCCCTCACTCTGCAAGGCTGGAGGAAGAGATTTTATGCTGATGAGGAACTTTATGCAAAATGTAAACTTGTAAATAAAGATTTCCATATAACAGAGGGAGAGCTGTGTGTCAGACACGTCTATTTGCAAAGCTTACGCTTTTCCTATTGCCTCCCTGTGACCAGAGTGATAATGTATAACAGGTCTGCAAAAAGAAGAGCGTGCTGAGGAGTCCCTGCAAAATATGCTGCCTGAAGCAATCCAACACATCTTTTGTGGTTCAGGGAATGAGTGCAATGACACCGCAGTGTTTCAAGACAGAAAATTACGTTTGGGTGCCTGATCATTTAAATGATAAAGAGCTTCTCAACTGCAGAGCCAGTGTCTCTCACTTGAATATGCCCAAAGAGAGATAACATATCAATAGATATATTGTTCATATAAATTTGAATTCATACACTCAAATTTCCCAGGAAACTGAGACCTATAATTTGGCACAAAACATACTTGTGTTTTTACCCCTGTCTGCAACATTTACATTCAAGTAACAGACATCAAAACATTTGGCTACAAGGATAGCTTTGGGATTTGCACACGTAAGTACAGATATATATCTATGGAGCTCAACTTACTGAAAATATGGCTCAATTATTGCTTTCTTTCACGTGGAAGGAAGAATCATGAGGCACCAATTTACGTGTAAAATTCTGGGGATGTGCATTTTCACACAATAAAAATATGAAATAAACTGTATAATAGGAACATACTACCGTCATTTTAGAATCCTGTATCTCCAGGAGAAATTAATGACATTTTCTTTATCATTTTAACATGTTAATGACTCCCGTAATATCTGAATGCATCCATGAGACTTCAGGCCACTTAATCATCTGTAAAGATTCTTTTCCACATGATTTTTGTGTTTTAGAACTGAAGTGTGGTCAGAAGACTATAAAGTCTGGCAAAGCAATTACCTCAGCATTGGATCTTTCCATCTTCTCCTCCAGTCCTGTGGATAAGCAAGTGGATGCCTTGCAAAATGTTGGAAGATGAGTACTGAGCCCCAGCACTGCTTTTACTTGCCTGGCTCATAAACCTCTAGTTTCCTGCTGCTGCATTCCTTTGTCATTCCTACTCCAAAAAAGAATTCTCATCAGCAGGCCAAGCTCTCTATGTAGATGTTGGATATTTGATTATTCCAGGATAGCTTGAGTTTGACAAAGAACTAGCAATCTTGACTCACACTCATTTCTTCAGTGCTATGGCCTGTCCTTGGAAGATGGCTCTGATGAAATACTGTGTGAATATCCAATGACCTACTGAAAAATCACAGAATCACAGAATCACAGAATTGTAGGGGTTGGAAGGGACCTCCTGAGATCATCGAGTCCAACCCCCCTGCCAAAGCAGGTTCCCTACAGCAGGTCGCACAGGTAGGCATCCAGGCAGGTCTTGAACATCTCCAGAGAAGGAGACTCCACCACCTCCCTGGGCAGCCTGTTCCAGTGCTCCGTCACCTCACTGTAAAGAAGTTCTTGCGCATGTTTGTGCGGAACTTCCTATGCTGCAGTTTCCGGCCGTTTACCCTTGTCCTGTCTCCACTCACCACTGAAAAGAGTCCGGCCTCGCCATTCTGCCCCCCACACCTTAGATATTTATAGACCTGGATCAGGTCCCCTCTCAGTCTCCTTTTCTCAAGGCTGAACAGACCCAGTTCACTCAGCCTTTCTTCATAGGGGAGATGCTCCAGGCCCTTCACCATTTTTGTGGCCCTCCGCTGGACTCTTTCCAAGAGATCCCTGTCTTTTTTGTACTGGGGAGCCCAGAACTGGACGCAGTACTCCAGATGAGGTCTTACCAGGGCAGAGTAGAGGGGGAGGATCACCTCCTTTGACCTGCTGGCCACGCTCTTTTTAATGCACCCCAGTAAGCCATTGGCCTTTTTGGCCACAAGGGCACACTGCTGGCTCATGGCCAACCTGTCATCCACCAGGACACCCAGGTCCCTTTCCGCAGAGCTCCCCTCCAGCAGGTCATCCCCCAACCTGTACTGGTGCATGGAATTATTCCTCCCCAGATGCAAGACTCTACACTTGCTTTTGTTAAACCTCATCCGGTTTTTTTCTGCCCAGCTCTCCAGCCTATCCAGGTCTTGCTGAATGGCAACACAGCCTTCAGGCGTGTCAGCCAATCCTCCCAACTTCGTATCATCAGCAAACTTGCTGAGGGTGGCCGTTATCCCCTCATCAAGGTCATTGATGAAGATGTTGAACAAGACCCCCCCTCCCCCCCCCCCAATTTGCACAACTCTAAGAGATTCCTAAACTTCTCCAAGCAAACTTGGTGATTTGTTTTCAGAACTTGGCAGCTCCTCTTATTTATACATGTGAGGACAGTTTTGAACAAGTAAGAACTCTTAATGTAACCAAACCTTCATTCACCAAAATGAGAATGAAAAGCAGTGCCAAAGCCAGCAGACATTTTTATAAGCTAACCTTTGCAAAGCAGTAGCTTGTTAATAGTAATTTCTCATCTCCCTTGCTATCTAGCAAATTATTCCTCTGCAAAGACATTTTTGGTAAATTTACCCAAAGCAAATGTAATGATGATGTTATATTAAAAGCTCCCAAGCTGGTTAATCTTCAGAGGTGATGGAAAGTTTATGGAGAGAAATAGAGCCAGTGCTAGCCTCTGGTCACAAAATATAAAGGTGTTTATTTTTAACAACATGATTGAAGGTTGTGCTTCACAGCCTATTTTCCACACTATTGCACTGAGGTGTTAGACAGGGAAAAGGCAACAACCTACATGCCCAGTGCTCCCTGAGTGGTATTAGGATCTCAGTGTCAGAACTGAAATAATATTCCCCAGTACTTTTTGCTAGGGAGGAACTGTTCTTCTGAGATACTCACACTCAGAATCGTGTCCCGATAACATAACCAAATATGATGCTGGCCTGACCCACTGTTGAGCCTTCTCATTCAATAGGCACCATGAGGTATAGCAGCGTATTCAATTGTGCTTTTGTGTTTTGTTATTAGTGGGGAAAAAGAATATGCTATTGCAGAACTAGAGTTTATTTAAGGATGTTTATCTCTGGGGAAGTTTATCATCTCTACCGGTTTAATTACATCACTGAGAGTAAGCTAATTTTAGTCCCTTTGTGAACCTCTATGTGATTTCAAGCATGTTTTCGTTTTTGGCTTAAAATGGTTTTGAAGATACATATGCTAAACTGAGAAGTGACATTCTAAATACAGTGAAAAGCTAACTACATATGTTGCTACACTGTTTCAGTAATAGCTGTTCAACAGTATTCCTATGGATGTATTTCCCTTCACAGGCAAATTTTGACTTTATAACAGAGACTCTATCCAAAAACACTCCTTTTTTATTTCCCTGTTGTAGCAGTGCCATGAATTGTGTGCCTGTTCCAAGGCAGGAAGGGAGAGGAGTGTTGATCCAACATGTAATAGATGGTTATGTTGGCTGTATAACTAATTTCACTAATGGAAATTTCACTAATGGAACATAAAATCTCACTGATGGATTCCCACTGGTGATTTTTTAATAGACAGCAGCTCTTTGTAATACACCATTTCTGACTGCAAGCATTTGCAAATTACAGGAGAACCAGAAAATACACTGAGACACCTGATTCTCAATCACCACAAAGATACCCAGTACAATTACTTGCACAAAAATACATAAAAGGAAATGCAGACATAATTTACCTTTAGACCTTTACTCCATCAGAGTGACGTGATTGACCTGAGAGCATGTGGAGCCGAGTTTAGAACAGAAACGGCTGTGAATAAAGAGAAAAAACCCAGTATTACTTGGAAAGGTGCTAACAATTGAGAAAAGATGTAACTCCAGAATTGCACTCAGTACAGAAAAGGGATGCTGAAAAGGGCAACAATTTTGCACTCTGCAGTGGTGAGGCTGCATCTTGAGCGCTGTGTTGAGATGTAGGGCCCTCACTACAAAAAAGGCATTGAAGTTCTGGAGCATGCCCAGAGAAGTGCAGTGAAGCTGTGAAGAGTCTGGAGCACAAGGCTTATTGGTCTTATCTGGGGGAACTAGGATTGTTCAATCACATTGATAAAAGATTCAGCATGAGCTAGCAATGCACGCTTACAGCCCAGAAGGCCAACTATACTCTAGGTTGCATAAAGAGAAGTGTGACCAGCAGATTGAGGGACGTGATTCTGCCCCTTTACTCCAGTCTTGTGGGACCCCACCTGGAATACTGCATTCAGTTCTGGGGCTCCCAGCACAAGGATACAGGACTGTTGGAGAGGGTCCAGAGGAGGGCCATGAAGATGATCAGAGCGCTGGAGCACCTCTCCTATGAGGACAGGCTGAGAGAGTCAGGGCTCTTCAGCCTGGAGAAGAGAAGGCTACTGTAGGACCTTGTAGCAGCCTTTCAGTCCCTGAAGGGGACAGGAAAGCTGGGGAGAGACTCCAAAGCACATGTAGCAACAGGACAAGGGGAAAAGGCTTTAAACTGGAAGAGAGTAATTTCAAACTAGATATTAGGAAGAAATCTTCACTGTGAGGGTGGTGAGACACTGGAACAGGTTGCTCAGTGAGGTTACAAATGCCCCCTCCTTGGAAGTATTCAAGGCCAGGCTGGACAGGGCTTTGAGCAATCTGGTGTAGAGGGAGGTGTCCCTGCACCTAGCAGGGAGGTTGGAACTAGTTGATCTTAAAGATCCCTTCCAACTCAAATAATATATAGTTCTGCGAGTTTGCAGAAAAAAGAGGGGAGACCTTATCACCCCACAATTCCCTGAAAGGAAATCATGGCAAGGTAGGGATCAGCTTCTTCTCTGAGGTGACAGCAATGGAATGAGAGAGAAGGGCCTTACACTGCAAAAGGGGAGATTCAGGTTGGAAATTGGCAAAAAAAAAAAAAAAAAACCAAAAAAAAAAACCCTTCTCTAGTGATGCAACAGTGATGCAGTGGCACAGGCTGCCACAGCCCAGGGTGTGTGGTAGAGTCACTGTCCCAGAAGATGTTCAAGAACCACGTGGATGTGGCACTGATGGACATGGACAGTGAGCACGGTGGGGGTGGGCTGATGGTTGGACTAGGTTATCTTAGTGGTTGTTTCTAACTTCAATAATCCTCTGATTCCTTGAATTTTAGATATCTCATCTATAAAAACTTTACTTCTCTACTTAGAAGTTACGGTGTTTTAATATCTTACACCAGATTTCTGCTAAGCCCAGGAAGAATAATACTACGTGTCTGGTAAAAGGCATATTTTACTGTCCCTTGTTTGTGATTGGGGGTGCAGTATATACATATAGATATTTCTGTGTTTTGATGTATATTTACATATCCAGTGATAACACTTTGCAAACTAATAGCAACATCAAGACACTACTATTGAAATATCAGACTTCAAGGACAGCTTTGATGTCTGGGTATATAAATACAAATGCACATGAAGCTCTAGCTTCCCAGAATCTGGCATTGACAAAATTTTAGGTCAGAAGAAAGGAAGAACTAGAGAAGCACAAGACTTAGCACAAAACCCTAGGGAAATACAGCCCTTACAGCAGAAGTGTAGACTGTGCTGCAGGTATCCAGAGGGCCAAAATTAGGGTGAACAGAGGCCATCAATACAGCTGTTTCCCATCACAACACGGAATATGGATGCAGTGGCTTTAAATTCAAACAACTCAGGGATCTGTTGCTATGGCAGCATCAGATGTCCACTGCAGAACTCCAAATAAAGATGATGCCATTCCAGTCCTTCCACAAGCACCCATTCTATTTCAGAATGAAACATTGGAAAGCCATCAGATGTCAATGCTAACACAGCCCCTGCACTGAGTAAAGGTATTGTTTTCAGGAAATACAGTTCACAGCACTTAGCCTGATGAGAAAAAGCATGACTCATAACACTGAAAAATGTTTTCCAGGGCTTATAATAGACTGCAATTAATATTGTTCCTGGAAAACAGCTTCTATTGTTACATAAGTCTGCAGTTGATGATTTTAGGGATAACATAGTATTTCTGTTTCAGTAAGATGAGAAAATGTTCTGTAAAAAGAAAAGGAAATGAACGGTGTTTTATTTATACTTATGCGAGTCCAACTGCTAGCAGAGCATCTTTAGCATCTTCATCCTCTTACTGTCCTAAGCTCTTTTAATCCCAGGGATCTTGCTCGCCATCATTGCAAACACTTTTTGCAAAGTAGGATGTTATTTGTGTATGGCTGTTGATTTAACCATGAAGACCAGCTCACTCTATTTTTTTTTTTCCTCCAGCTTGTCACTTTACTAACCTGTTTCTTGCCACATGGAACTCAAAGAGGAGTTTAAAAAAAAATTTCTGCATGGCCATGGAAGCCTGTGAGCAGAAAGGTTGATCCCTTTAGGAAAAAAGAAATAAATCCATTCAGTGCTGTGACACCAGATTTCTTGAAAATTCTGAGATGTTTCAGGCTTACAGACTGTTGTGTACATTTTGTTCTGAGTAAGGACCACAGAGTAGGAATAAATAATTTGTACATACATATGAGCAGCCTGAAAGCATCTCCTAATTAATCACTAAGTAAATAAATTCTTTACTTCCAGAATCAGATTTTAGTATGTAAATATATTCTCTTCTGTATAAAGAAGTTCATTCCCAGAACTTGGCAGGTCTCTGTGAATGCAATGAAGACAACATGAGTGTCTCATCACATTCACGTTAAGACTGTACCCCACATTATTCTTCTCTATCTCCATAGGAGAAGAATGACATTTGCCTTCATGTTATGGTGGAAAGAACTGCCAGCAACCTCTCTCCAAGACCAGAATTACTCAAGTTAAAGGGAAAATAAATCCCCAAACACATGCATTATTAGTGTTGCTCTGGAAATAATATTCTTTTCTTGAGAACCAAGTCTAAGACTCGAGTATAAGGGAAGTAAAGGGAAAGTAAAAGAAAAATGAATGGTTCACTGAAAACTATTTCTTGCTATGTTTACCTGAAACTTTTCCAGCATTGAACTGTATAGTATCTTATTGGTTAATTCATATTCTTAAATCTACATGCTTCTTTTAACAAATATAAGGGTTGAGCTGGATGTATCCATGATAGGTCCTTCTATATATTAAAATAAAAGCAGAGTTGTCAGGAGTCCCAAGAGGAACTACAGAGCTTGTTCAGAGGCAGGTAAGCCTCATTTTTTGTACCAAAAAAATTTGTAGAAACTATAACAGACTAAAAATCAGTGACTGAAGTATAAATATGAGATAGAGGAAACTCAGCACATATTTCATTTACAAACTTATTATGGTCTTTTGAAGGTGTCAATGAGCAGATAATTACAGTTGTTTAAACACATGGATATTCAAAAAATCTTTCAGAAAATAAAATCCTCGCAGAAGACACGTAAAGCTGTCACAGTCTAAGACAGGGATTAACACTGTGTCAAAAAATAGGAAAAAAAATGCCAAGAATTAACATTTTGTTTTTACAGTCAGATTTCACATTTCATTAAGTTCTTGATATTCATCTCATAAGGGTTGCACCTGAGCAAGGAAGTTAAGAAAGGCAGAGTTGATATGCAAAAATTGAATAACTTCCACATGAAAAGAGTAAGTAGTCCTGACCTCTTCAACTTGGAAAACAGTTGTGAGAGGGAAGGAGGAAATGTGATAAGTATGATACCATAAGTGATGCAAAGAGGATGATTAAGGAGTGACAAATCATTATTTCTCACAGTATGGGAGCTACAGAACACTCAGGGAAATTATTAGGTATCAAATTCAAGATCAAACAAAAGCAAGTTCTCTTTCTATGGAGGTCTTAATTAAGTCATTAAACTCAAATTTGCAGAACATCATTGAGCTAGACTTTAAGTGGCTTTAAAAGTAATTTAGAAACAATTATTAGTGACCCTTCAGCTCATTACATCCTAAATACTAAGATTTCTCTCCCATGATTCATTGCCATTGGCTGGTGTGGCAAACAGAAACCTTGGCTAAAAGGACCTGAGCAGATATGACACTTTGTTTGAATCCGCCTAACAAACAAGCTAAGGAAAACAAGCCCTTCAGAGCATCCCAAATGAGCTAAAATTGCATGAACAGCAAACAAAATGTTAGTATACAGTATCTTGACAGAATATTGTGGTAAGTTTGGCACTGTGCTACTTTGAACTGATTTCCAGATAGTACCCAAAAATTAAAGGTTCACGTGAAGAATCTCCTGACAGAAAGACTTCACTTTCATGTTGTAACTTGCTGAGGTCTCAAACACTTGAGTGGTCCCAGGCAGGTGGAGTTATAGCAGCACAGTTGAGGTGAGAAGTAGCCTCACAGGTAAGCAGCTCTAAAGTACTGGGAAGCAAAGACCAGCTGAGAGCAGCCAGAGCAGGCAGGGACAAAGGACAGCTGTCCCAAGCAAATACGATGCCATGCTTGGATCAGCTGGCAGCTCCAGCAGTTGGTGTAGTACCAGTTTTGTGGAGATTTGGTTTGCTACTCGATTAGAAGCATGGTTACTCTGAAAGAAGATTTAAAAAAAAAAAAAATCCTTCTGGTTGGGCCCAGTAACAGATTATTAATGACTTTGAAGACACTAAGTTGAGGATCTGACTTCTGATACTTATGCCCTGGTAGTCAGACATTTTGATCTGGATGTGACATATTAATTTCTTAACTGTTTCCCAAAGAGATCTAAGCATTGTAGATGAAAAACAACTACAGTAAGACAATATCATTTTGGCAAACACCTCTAATTAAGAACCCAAAGAATTTTGATTGTCCTTATGGACATTATGACTCACTGCTTGTGCCTTATTG